GGATTACGACTAATGCCAGTGAACTTGGGTCAGTATCAAGGCCGGACCGATGTCAAAACCAAATTGTTTGTTCACTAAAGAATGTGTGTGAATAAGTTTTTTTGATGCTTCTTTCCGATTTCTTGATCACAAGGATGTCAACAGACATCGTGTCTGGACTTCTTGCAGGCCAGCGGAGGTCACTGACCAAAAATGACTCCTAACAGCCGTCTTTTCCAACTGGTGCGGTGCAGCCTTCCGACCGGTGTGACCTGAAAGCAACACCATTGAAATTTTGCCCAGAACAGGTCCTTAGGGTTTAAGCATCTGCATGACAAGGTCTGGGGGTACCTCGGATACCGATGTGAAGTTTGCCCTTATTTTGTCCAAACATCACCAGGTATTTTGACCAAGTCTATCTCAAAATTTGACACAAACGAGTTCATGCACAGGCCTTCCTACTTTGGGAATTTTTCGGTTTGGGCTTCCTTGCTTTGTTTTATCTCAGGGGTCATATTGACCCCCTCGCCTACCGAGCGCGTCGCAATCAACCGGCCACCCGTGCGCGTGTTAAATTGTTGTTGCGCGTCTGAGGCGTGTGTAAATCTCCATGAAATGGATGCGTCCCATATTTGTAAGACATCTTAATTTATTGTGGGCTAGCTCTCTCAGCATTACAAAACAGTAACAAACCGGCCTACAAGACAAGTTTCGCTAAAATGCGTATACTTGCGCACCACTTAATGACGCCATTTTCTGTAGCCCATGGTGTTGCATTTCTTCGCAGTCTGAAAGTTGTATGCAAACCCAATTCTGCGAATTGCCAGGAAATCGTGTTAGAATGCAGCTTAACGTTTCAAAATTCAATTACCATGGGATTCCAGATGGAACTCGAGCTTTCCTGTATTTTTGCCGCAAGACGTATAGAGCAAGCTTGGCCGTAATGATATTTAAAAACAACATCAAGGTTACTATTATGGTGGCATATCTTTACCCAAGTTCAGCTGCTCCTGGCTAATTCGTAGGTCACAGGTGATATTTTTGGGAAAAGTGAGTGATTTGGCAATCAACAAACATTGCCTTTCGACAAACTCGACGACTGCAACACGCAAAATGCTCACAAAAAACTGCCTTGCCGCAAGACACCAACCGTCCTTGCCGAAGCCCAACTTTGGTAGAGCTGAGCTCATTGAAGTTATGCTGACCACATTCGTGATGTGGCGAGACGCTTAGTGGAGTAGTTCGCCATCTAGAAAAGGTGTTTATATATGGCTCGCCGAAGAGGACCATTTGGCTGCTAACTAGACAGCGCCAGCCTGATCACGGGGCGGCAATGGCCGTGCCCGTGTCTGGCGCCTTAGGTCATTTCATGTTATTTCGGTACAGGTCCGAGGCAGAATGAGTCTGTTAACATTCATGACAATAACTGGATGGTGATTTGGAGTGATAGCAAAAAAAGGTTTTTAGGACGGAAGTTGATTCAAAATCTGTCACAGTAAAATTTATGCTTCCGTTTTGTGTGTCGCATATCCCATTCCATAGATATACCCATAGACTGGAGGAAGGAACGTTGCCGCACCAAAAATAGCATTTTGTGTCCGATTTTAGTTTCTTATGAGACCGTACCGCAAAGAAGTCTGGTTTCAAGTCACATAACGTAAGGTTCGGAGCCCTCCATGGGTAGAAGACCAAATGGCGCTTAGCGTAAAAGTCTTCACGAGACCAGTGAATCAGTGACGTCAGTAACATGTTTAGTTCGCAATAAAGCTTCATGGCCCAACAAAGTCTTACATAAAGTGGCTTAGCCCCATAATTCAAAGTTACCCATCATTTGAGGACATAATTTTGAGATTGAGGGACCAAGTTTCCCCACTGTTTCCTCCACGTTGACACCACGACGCAGAAGGGTCAAAGTAAATAGCGGGTGCGTGATAGCCATCTTTTGCCTGCGCTTCCTACGGCATTCCAGCCAAAAACATTGCGGGGGGGGGGGCAGTGGGCAAGCCAACATTGTGGAGCCCAGCTCAACATCGGGTGGGGGGGGGGGAGGGAAGGGAACGTAGGAGGCCACTGCCCTCACAGCAGAATACAAATCGGCATCCGTGTTCCAAACAATGTCCGTCAAGTTAGCGTCGCATTCGTATTTAAATGCATTGTCCACTTCAGATTTTCAAAGCAGTCTCCCTGGCTCAAACCCAATGGTTTTCCAGAAATCTGCTGGATGTGCAAATATGGAGCAGAACTTAAGTTTTCTTTGATAATTCGGCATCATGTTTTGGCCTACGGGGCGTAGATGCTACAATAATGGGTGTGGTTTGAGTTAAAGTGGGTGTTATATCCAGAATGCTCGCATTAATTGATCGAGAAATGATATTGCATTACACAGAAGGCATGCAATCGACTGTAGCGAACAGTCCATCAGATTCCACAGGAAGCTGGCACACGAGTCCTGAGCCAGCCCGGCGCGAGCTCACGACCTCGAAGCTAGGCCTCAAGTTCGCTGGTGCTGCCTCGCCGCCGACTGCGCCACTGAGACCGTGGATGGCGCCTCGAGGTCGGAAATTCCACAGCGCACGTGGATGTAAATCCTGGCGCGGACGCCGTGGGATCTGACCCACTGGGCCAGAGTCAATAGATATGCTTAGGTTGCAATATAAATTAGCAAAACAGAACTCGATCTACAGCTATAAAAATTTAATACGTGAGCCCTTTGGCTTGGTAGAAAAATTATACATGGAACGGTTGTGCTGACAATGAGCTTTAATGGGGTCTGGCTAGGTCACATACATGATACGAGGAAGAAAACCCGATCACACGGTTCAAAACGCTTGTCGGGATTTCTAGTTTTGCTGTAGGATTGAGACAAGGTATTAGTGCTGCGGATACAAGGTATTAGTGTTACGGATACAAGGTATTAGTGCTACGGATACATCAATCGTTCGAGATATGGTCGGCGTCTGATGTGTTATTATGCGCACGGCGGCTCGGTCAGTTAAAGCTCTGGTCGTCACGGCGGCTCGGTCAATTAAGGTTCCGGTCGTCACGGCGGCTCGGTCAGTTAAAGCTCCGGTCGTCACGGCGGCTCGGTCAGTTAAAGCTCTGGTCGTCACGGCGGCTCGGTCAGTTAAAGCTCTGGTCGTCACGGCGGCTCGGTCAGTTAAAGCTCTGGTCGTCACGGCGGGCTCGGTCAGTTAAAGCTCTGGTCGTCACCAAATGTTATTGGAGTGCTTTGAAGGAGAGGATAATGCTTGGCTCTTAATCCCATACGCGTCACAAGAATTCGCTTATTTGAATTTGCTC